GCGGATGGGTCGCCATGCTCAATGGAGCCTGGTCATGGTTTTGAGGTGCATAATTGCAATCCCTGGAACACCGGTTTCAGCATCGAGGATACGTAATATCTGTGGTCTGGCTGCTTGTTACTTGTACCTGTTTACACGGTTGTGCATCGGCATACCCTTTATGGGATGACCTGCATCTGGGCAATCACACCGCTACTTGATGCTGATCTTCCTGGCGTCTAAGACATTTTTAGTTATGCTGGTTATGTGGCCTTTACATGACCGTTGAGATTTTTTAACATAATATGACAGAAATGAACCACTTGAAAGGTACTTCCCCTAGGCCGACAGCCAGGTGCAGCCCATACTCCTGACTGAACCTGAAAGCCAGGTGCGGCCCCGTCCGTGCCATTTCCTCAATCAGCGGTGGGCAAGATCCAGCATTGGGGAAATATGGCTCGGAGGTATTGGTCGTCTTTTTAAGGCCGCCATCTGCCCCGGGTTCAAACATTGCTGAAATTTTGTAGGGCAGGCCAGGGGTCAAGTCCTCACCACTAGACTTGGATGGCAAGAGCAAGCGACTTGGATGGCAAGAGTAAGTTACAGCTAGGGCACCCAGGGATTGAATCAAGGTGATGCCAACAACTGACTGTGGACGGGGGTTGCCATTGGGTAACACCAAGAATTGGCACCACAAGCAACTAGAGGGTCCACGGATCAAACCTGGGTGATGCCGAGATTTGAGTGAACCCTGAGGTTAGGGTTTAGAGTTGGGCATTTCATCATGGTCGGGCGTAGGTTAGGGTTTTCTTGTCCGTGGAATGCACAGGGATTCGTGTTGTACAGGAAGCCATTTCATCCGTGCGCGTGCATTTCATATGCGAGAACTTTGTGGTCTTGGATTAGGATGAGTTGCATGGGGGAGCACCATACATGCACTGAACGCTGTTGATCAGCCTATTGTGGCACCAGTACATGGGACCGTTCCTTTGTCCGCTATGGGCCTCTGAGCGCCTCTGAATTTAACTGGGCGCAGGTGTGTCTATGAGCACACCTTTCTTGTGTATTGGTGCGCTAAAATCTGTGGAACTGTCCTTCTTTGTTCCAAAAAACGAAAACAGTCTGAAATACTGAGGCTGCACCCACACTAGCACTGTCCTAAATGTAACTGACTGTATCTACGGCCAGACCTGGATGCGTCTGACCGTAATCACGCAGATCTTACTAGGAAAAGTGCTCGTGTGAGTATGCCCCGACCCTGACCACGCCATCCTATCAGAGACAAAGATTGTAGTTCTTTTTTTCGGGCATTTTATTTCTTGGCTTTCGAAAGCACTTAGCGCACTCGACCATGCGCTGAGAACTTGGAAGCATTTGAAAATTCTTCCCCTCCAGGGGTAGTATGGTCTCTCAAAAGTGTCTGTGTGCCAGCTTTGTGCAGGTATCATGAGAGCAACCCGGTTGTTGTGGAGTATACAAAGAAAAGGCACATGGCTCCAAGATTCACACATGCTTTTTGCCTGTATAAGGCTATGTAGTGATCCGCAACAGAGAACTTTAGGAGTTGGCACAGGTCCTCAGAGGATAATTGTGGGAGGATCGGGCAGTAGGCATGTTGGATACCTCGTATCTGCTATGGCTCAGTATCAAGATGCACCTTCCTTTCTGCCCGAGCCTTGCGAGTATAATGTCTAAGGGGGCAGGAATAGTGATTGGTCAATTTAACTGCCAGTACCCTTGAGCTTCCCTCCCGAACCTGTCCGTGGCCAGTGCCCGAGTCTGTGCGATGGCAGGCCAAAAAAAGAGCTGTGGCTGCAAAGAGAAAAGAAGAACAATGAAAGAAGAAAACGAGATGCTAGGTGGATTTGGTTGCGCTGACGGGAACTGAGGAAAGAAAGGATTGTTGTTGTATTCAGGGGAAAAAAAAGCGAAACAAAAAGAACGAGTTGAGGGCCTTGGGCCAGTACTCAACAATTGTGCAAAATGCGAATGAATCTTCGGCTAGAGCATGGAAAGATACACACCCATAATTGTTGTCTTTTGTGCATGTGGGAGCAGTACCAGGGCGCTAGTGTTTTGGTGCACTAGTGCCGTATTCTGGTGTCTGTCAGTTGTCATCGGGGGAAAAGAAAAGAGATTCCTGAACTGTCAAATCTGCTTTGCAAATCAACTTCAAATCTGGCCCGTTCACCCCTTGGAGGGCCTCGCACCACTACTCACCAATGCGCAAAATGAGAATGAATCCTCCGCTAGAACATGGAAAGATTACACTGCCATATTTTTTGTCTTTTGTGCATGTGGAAAGTAGTGGTGCGAGGCGCAGTATAGATCTTTCTAGGAGGACAAGAGGGCCTGGGAATGAATCTTCTGGTAGAACATGGAAAGATACACTGCCATAATTCTCCTCTTCTTTTTTCTTTTTTGCATTGAAGGAAATGAAAAGTCTTTTCTATGCAACAAAGATCCTTCTTTTCTTTTCTTTGTTTTCGTGGTTTTCCACATAAAGCACAACTGCCTACCTCACAACCCCTGCTTGAAAATCAAGCCCAGCCCGAAGCTGTGCCGACCTGGTGGGGGCACCTTTCGGCATGCGCGGAGGGAAAATACAACAGCAGCGAAAGGTACTGGCGGTTTAAAGATGCACGAGCTTTGTCCCCAATGCAGTGGTATCGCATCTGTATCCAGGGGGATTTACCCAACTGGCCTTCTATTCATGGAAGGTAGAACCCTATCTTCTCCTTCTCTCCGAACGCTTACACTCGCATACCCGCACCGGCCCTGCCCGGTTTGTAGGGGTGTGCACTTACCAATGTCAATGCGTGCTCCAAGTTTCATTTTCCTCTGCAACCCAAACGCTGACTGGACCCTTGTGCCATTTTGTAGCAGTCTGCTCTGCCGTTGCGTTTTGAGGATCCTATTCGACTTTCTTTCTTTCTGTTTCTTTCTCTTTGCTATCCTCGCTAATCCCCCCCCCTGCTCTCCCTCCCGTCGAGAAGAACTGGTAAATGCATATAAATGCGCATGATAAAGAGAACATACCAAATATAAGGTGCAGGCGTGCTGAAAAGCAAATGGGTATGTATGCATTCCAGGCTAATGTACACAGACGTGGGGCACGCTACACTTCTCAGAAAACAACAATGAAACAGCCTTTTCATCAAAAAATTACTATCATCTACATCTGGAAAAAAAAATCTGTAACTGGATGGAAAATTGCAAGTCAAGGCTGTCTCGATTTTAAATCAACGCATCTGGTGGGAAAGGGGTTGTTGTGGTCACAGTTCAGAACACACACACAGCAAAAAGAAAAAGAGACGGATGATAGACAGGCAAGGGGCTTATTTTGAGTACTTTTGGCTTGGAGTCTTGGAACTGTATTCTTTGAGTTTGTGACAATAGGACACAAATTTTCAAAAATATTATTATCCTTCTTTTCTGGAGCCCTCGTGTGTGTGCAGTTGTAGTACTATGAAGTTTGAGGGTTTGCTCTGTGATATCAGAGTTGCGTTGATGTGTTACCTCTTATCGAGGCGATGGTCGCTCCTCTTTTTGAGGAAAACAAAATGTTTCATTCTCCAGAGATAATCAAACACCGCTATGAAAGGGGTCTTTTGACGATTGCAATTTGTGTCTTGTAATGGATAGTCGACCCCGCGTTGCACGAGGACGTCTGGTTGGAACATCTGGGAGTGTGGCTTATTGAAAGGATATGTCCTTTTGACAAGACTTCGGCATTGCATGCAGTGTTGTGATTCGATAGCACATGATTGTTGAGATGGGGGTTATGCCTATCACATCATGAGTCATCCCACTGCGTGCTCATCCGCCCAATCACAAAACCTAGCAATCTGGGGTTACGATGATTCTCCGGTTGGGCGGCCAGCACGTCAGCCACGTGTCGCATGTGGGAAATTTAGCGTCACGAAATATGACACACACAAAACAAAAAGCAAACACCAAATGGTGATGTACTGTGCGGGCATACATGTTGAACTTGGCCTCTTTCTGTATGCCGGCCCAAGCGGACAGACCAAGAGCGCCCGGTACCTCCCGGCACCCTCTTTTTTTCTGTAACCAATACTAACCTCCCCCAGGCTTGGCATTTCCCCTGACGGGGTTTGCTTATTTGTGTTGAACTCGAGAGATTTGTCTGTTGTGAGGTGTGATGGCGGTAACATCTCTCTTGATCGTGGCTATTCTACAACAGGACTACTGCTCATTTGATGGCAAGCCCACATGAGTGAGGCAGAATAGAACCATGGAAACGAAAGGACTGTCTGAATATTGAGTTGCACTTTCAGTCGGCTCCCCAGAAGTTGAAACTCTTGATGGTCTGCAAAATTCCTGAAGGAGTTTATTGCAAGTGATAATCCGCATTGACTCAATGCTGGCCAGTTTTTGTGTATTTTCTCGTCCGCTTTGTCTAGAAAAACTACTCCTGAGGCAGCGACTACATGGGTGCGAAGTGAGTGATGAACCTGATCGAATTTGTCTCGAGCTCTCCAACTGACAGAGAATTTTCTCGACCAATAGTGGTCATGTTCATTTTCTTATACTCGTCTTACCCCTTCTCTCCTTTCTTCTTAAGGCGGTTCTATTATTCTTTCACAGGATGTTACCCCTTTCTTTGATCCACCACTTAAAGGTTGTTGTCTGATCTAGTCTCCAGGACTCCATGGGATTGCACAGGTCCGTCCATTGAGTCAATTTTATTGGAGGTTGAAGCATGTGATGCGATTGGTCCATTGATTCAGCTCCGTGGGATTGCACAGGTCCGTCCATTGAGTGAACATTGATTGGTCTTCACAGGATTGCACAGATCCATTGAGTGACCATTGTCGTGGCTTGTTATTTGAACAGGGACACCGTTGTAAAGGTCAACGGCCAGAGTTGATGGTGGACTGCAAGTGAAAGTGGAGTGACGTTTAGGAAGCTTCTCTTACATACGAATTACAATATCACTTTCGACTTTCAATCTGTTTTTTTGTTAATAGCGTTTCCTGATATCTGCTGAATTGCAGAGGCTTGCCAGCGGTTTTCGCATTAAGGAACTGAAGGAGGCACTAGCCCGACTTGGAATGCCAAAACAGGGCAACAAGCAGGTGAGAGCACATGCCAGAGGCTCTGACTATCTTGCTTCTTCTCCAGTGAGGACACACTCTGTTCATTGCAAGTACTGATTTCTGCGAACTGCGTACTGGTGCCGTGATACTGACATGCACTGCATTGTATAGCCACCACCACCTCTGGACGTGGCCCGCTGAGCCTGGAAAGGAGTAGTATCGTACCCGTTTTTGGCAGGGCAGTACCAGGAAATTGAAGAGTATCGTGATCGCCATCTTGGTCAAGCGAAGACGCTCCCAGTTAGTGGTGGTTTAAGGTATTGGGGGGTAAACTCTGGAAGCACGTAGTGGTTAGTTGAAGGTATTCGTTGGTAAACTCTGCAGTTTGGGAAGTGGAAGTGGAGGAATCATCAATGGAGGTCCACAACACACAGACTTGGGTTCTTTAATGCTATGTCTGTTTTCCCACTTGGATTGAGCCCATCTGTTTGTTTGATGGAGTGTAAGCCCGTATCTGCCTGATGGCTGAATTGTACATGTATGTCACTGTTGATAAACAGATCGAGAGTTCAAATCCTGCTGGATTGTAGCAAGGCCGTTTGGGCAGGACATCCATCCGGGTCGTCCACGCCGGACAGGTCCTGGGCAACCTGTCGGCAAATCCGAACAAGCCAGAAAAGGCAAGGGGAGACATCTTTTCGGTCTGGGATCACGATGGTCATGTTGCGCATGTCAAATGGAGCACAGGTGCAGGGTTATTTCCAAAAAGTACGTGTGGGCTTCAATGGGGATCTGAAGCAATAAAGGGCGTTAAACTTTGAAGGGGTGTATTGTGGTGTGTTTTTGAAAATTTAAATCGTAAATTATTTGACGAGGGATTTTGCAGTGACCCTCAGCCAAAAGTTGTTAGTCTTTCGATGGTACACATCGAACCAATTATGGATTTGTTGTTTTAAATCTTGAATCATTTAAAATATTCTGATTCTCTGTACCCTGATGGGCAGGTGGTTGGGCTTGCTGGCCAGGAAGGACGTCTGGATCTGGGTCCTGACAGGTCAGGTCCTGCCAGATGTTCAGCCCCACTACCTAGTTCTGGATAGATGAATGTGAGGAGCTACCCCCTTCACACACTCTCTCCTCCCTCCCCCCCCAAAACACACACACACACACACACACACACACACACAAGAAAGAAAAGAAAACGTGGAACCCTGTCCATGTGAAGCACGAGTAGGCATGCAGCGGTGTGGCATTTTGTTCGCACTCTGGAAATGTCTTGCGCCCCTCTGATCCTACCAGTCCAGTCTCTTGAGACCTGACCGTTGGTGCTGCAAGCTGAAGCTGTGCTTAGCAGCTATGGCTGTTGGTGTTGGCGAGTGCCCTTAATGGCAGTGTTTGTTGCCCACCTCTGCTTGGCAGTTGTTTACAACTGGTGGTAGCCATTGTAGCACCAGGCTGGTACTCATGTGGTGGCATATATGTTGTGAGGCAATGGTTTCCGCCCACCTCCGACATCAACTCAAATGAAGACAAGGTACTCTGTCATAGGGAATTCTGCAGACTGTTGGTGGCCTAGTCCTGTGGCAGCTCCTTTATTTCTTGCAACAATGGCATTAGATTGTTGTATGTTTCCCCGTCCCCCTCTTCTCCCAACCCTTGGCCGTTGCTCCGCTTCTCAATTTAGCGTTCTGTGTGCACCACTGCAGATAGGGTGGTGAGGATTTCTTGAAGCCCGGAGCCAGTTTTGAGAGCTAGACTCTATAACCGTGTTTGTTGTTGGGCCAGTCAGAAGCAGTATAGCTTTGTTTTGTTGATGTGGTGGGAAAATCTGGGTGTATGAAGCTGGAACTGTTGTTGGCCGTTTGATTGCGTAACTACCTAGCAGACTCGTACCGTAGTGCAGTGCTTACGGATATGTTGTGTTCAGCTGCTACCCTGATGTGAACCCTAATCTGATTGTTGTTGGCGGCTTATATGCACACAACAGCACTTCGGAGGTATATCTCATCTGATCATGCGGGTCAGTTTTATGTTTCCCAGTGGACATGTCTGCAGTGAGAACTTTCATTGGGGCTAAGTGGCTTGGCTGGACGTCTGGCAGGCTGTGAACTGTCTGGGTCCAGGTCCGGATGTCCTGCCTGGACACGAAGCTGGACCATCTGTCCGCCAAGGTGCAGAAAACCGAAATTTTGGAAGATTTGAGATTTTCCAGAGTGATCCAAAAATATGTATTGGACTTGAACAATTGATGGCTGAGGGTCATTGCAAATTTTTTTACCAAACTCTGGGTCAAAAATGAAATTAAAAAAAAAAGGAAATAACTTCACCAGGATTACTATAACACACCCCTCTAACCCCTGTCAACAATATGCCCTTTTAAACCCCTCTCAACTCCCTGTATGCATCTCCAGAGCTCCGCAATGTTTTCTTGGAAACAACATTTGATCCGGGCTCTGGCATGTGTGACATAATATTGACCCGGCATCAGACTGAAAAGCTATCGCCATTTACCTTTTCTTGCTTGTTCGGACTTCTGAACAGGTTGGATGCGACCTGTTTGTGCTCCGGACAAGCATCCTGGTTTGCCTTCCTACCCGCCTGGCTACGTAGGATCGGGGTCATTTCTGTGATTATCTCAGAGACAAAGTCTAATTTTGATGCTCAGACGTTGGGAAAGAAGGAAAAAGGATATGGAAAGACGTGGAACAACAATGTGCATTTTGCAAATTCCTCTGAAAACAGGAGAAGGTTGGAGGTAGGGTCTGTGTGTGATATGGATTGCTGTTCATAGCCGGCCATTAGAGTACTTCCTATGTGGATGGCGAGTGGCAGGAAGCTTGCTGTAGTGGGTAGTCTTTTGCATGTCGGGAAGAGGAGCATGGGCAATGACAATGGAAGGCCTGACCACTGGGCAGGGTGCTGCGGTTCTCAACAACTACACGCTATGGTGTAGTTCTGTATTATGCGTTACAATGAATGGTAAGGTGAAAAATAGGATGCAAACATCAACTCAGTGGGTCTTCTTCACAAATATCGGTTAGGGCAGTTTCAATCTGGTTACAATTGTCGATGATGTTAACACAATTAAGAGGCTGTGCCATTCATTGGGATGCAAAATGATTGTGTAGGTCTTTTGTTGGCAAGTGTGTTGCAAGCCAGAGGAGACTGTGTGCTGGTATTGTCATCTTGACCTGGAGGGGAGGGGAGGGGCAAGGGTGAAAACAGAGGATAAGAGTGTGAAGATCCACATTGCTTACCATGAGCAGTAGAGCATCTTGTTTTCTGCTGGGGTGTGCTACCATCTTCACCCGAATAGAACACCTGGTCATTATCACTGTATGTGAAATCGTACAAATACTGGTATAATGATCGTGCGCTCTATTCGGGTGAAGGCGGCAGTGTACGTGGTTTGCTGTATAGTTGTGAAGTGCGAGTTGGAGCTGAACATTCTTTTTTGTGTTTTGTTGTCTGGTGGTGCCCAGATATTAAGGGATCGTTTGCTAGAAGTTTTCGAGTCAGGTGTGTATTACCCTACTGCATGAGCATTGTTGCAACTCTACTGTCATTCTGTCATTAGTCATGGCGTGTGCTGCATGAGGAGAAAGGGAGGTGATGTGGGTTTATGTGCAAGTTGTTATGTGCAAAACGGAGGGTGGAAAGGAAGGATGTCTGCTACTTGCTCCATTCCATGACTAGGTCACATTGTGGCTGTTCAAACTTCGGCTTCAGCTTGCCATTGTCTTTCACTATCCTTATGCACCCGTCTGTGTCTTTGTGTATTCTCTTGTGTCTTTTTGTGTCCCTGCTGCTTTTTGTATCCTTCTGCATCTTCCCGCTCCCTTGTGCATCCTTTGACACCCTCGTGCATTGTTCTGTGGCCTCCTGTGCCCTTCTGCTCCTTTCTGCCCCCTTCTGCGGTCATCGGACATGTTCTGCTTGACGCCCTCCTGCACTATCCTGAACACCTCTTCACCGGTCTGCATTCTTCGGACATTGCTATGCATGGTTCTGCATCCTGCTTCATCCTTCAAGATCCTTCTGTACCGTTCTGCATCCTCCCGCGTTTCCACACCCTCCCACACCCTCCTACACTTTCTGCATCCTGCTGCAGTCTTCTGCAGTCTTCTGCATCCTTCTGCATCCTTCTGCATCTTTCTGCATCTTTCTGCGCGCTTCCTCAACCTGGTAAATTTATTCATCGCTCTGCATCCTCCTGCGCTATTCCACACCCTCCCACACCCTTCCACACCCTCCTACACCTGCTGCATCCTGCTGCGGTCTTCTGCATCGTTCCGCATCTTTCTGCGCCTTTCCTCAACCTGGTAAATTCATTCACCGCTCTGCATACTCCTGCGCTAGTCTGCACACTTCCACACCCTCCCACACCCTCCTACATGTTCTGCATCCTACTGCATCCTGCTGCAGTCTTCGCATCCTTCTGCATCTTTCGGCGCCCTTCCTTAACCTGGTAAACTCATTCAGCGCTCTGCACCCTGGTAAATTCATTCATCGCTCTGCACCCACCTGGATTGTCTCCTCTCTGGTCTCCCGGAACCGATGGTATGTTGGAGCCCAGCAATGAATTCTGAAACACATGCCCATTTTCCACAATGGGATTGTGGTTGGTGGATCTTGGGATTAAGAAGGTGCTCGATTCTGCTGTGACAAAGGGATAGCATAGAGCCTGACTGGGCTAAGTGTTTTCAAATTCATGTCCATAATCTAGATAGGATGGTGGTTGTTGGACCTTGTGGTCATGGACAGCATAGATCACTACTCGCCTTAGGGAAAGATATGAATGGCCTAATTGCATAAAAAAAGCAGGAAAGGTGAAGAAGTCTTTACCAGAATGACAGTGAAGTTGGTTCTAGTCATAACTCCACACAGCTTGATGCATCTGGCTAAATGACAGAGATGACTCAGTTGGAGAAAATGATCGCCTGATCTTTCATACAGAAGCTGTAGACTGTGTGTTTGGCCTTGTTGGCCTTCCCTTGGTACCGTCTGCTATATCTTGTCAACACGATACTCTCTAGCTTTTGTGGGCCGTGGGGGTATGCTCCGAGCCGAATTCTTGCTTTTCTTTCTGTCTCGGTGTTTGGATTCTGTAGTGGGCGGCCTTGATCGCCCAAGAGCAAGATTTCTGGTGAATTGTGGCACACTTAGAATATGGACCGTTGGTCCAGTCTCTAATGACAGTGTTTGTTGCCCACCTCTGCTTGTTAGTTGTACAACTGGTGGTAGCCATGGTAGCACCAGGGTCGTACTCATGTGGTGGCATATATGTTGTGAGGCAATGGTCTCCGTCCACCTCCGACATCAACGCAAATGAAGAAAAGGTACTCTGTTGTAGGGAGTTCTGCAGACAGTTGGTGGCTGTCGTGTAGCAGCCCCTTTATTATTTGTTGCAACAATGGCATTGGGTTGCCGTACGTTTCCCGTCCAGAAGCTGCACTTTCTAACGAATCGTGGCACACTTAAAATGTCTACGTGTAATACTTTGCCTCTCCTTTCTTCGGGGGGTCTGGATGTCTAAGGTTTACTTTCACTACCGAAAGGCCTGACCTTAGTCGTCGGCAATCGTTCTTTGAAGAGAAAAAGAAGGCACAAAAGAAAATGCGATGGACAGCAGATAACCTCCTTACTTGGCAGCCTTGCTGGGAGCCAGGTGCCACAGGCGGAGAGCAGACTCGCGCTTCTGAGTGCCTTTTCCAATCTTCGTGGGGAGCTGCACGTGCTGACAACTGGGCCCAGTGTCCCTTGTGAAAAATGATTAGGAAAAGTGTGCAAGTACCGGGGCCAATACCTGACCTAGGCTCTTCTGGAAACCGGGTCTGAAAACCATTGGACAAAATATACAGGGCTATCACCTTCTCTGGCAAGACTTTCCAATCTTTTCTAATTTGCTTGGATGGTATTTAGAGCCACATCCTGACTAGGCTCGCCCCTTTTGATCCGCCTCTTCGTCCTTCTTCACGGCACCAAATCTTTACCAATGTCAGTGAGCAGATCCTAGTCTTTCTTCTAGCTGGAAATCGGGTCCCGTGTCCCATTCCTCCTGACCAGGGCCAAGGCCGCAGGACTAGTCAGGGCCACTCGGGGGCACCAGTGATCCTTGCACTGGCTGGCCATGACCCAAACCTTCTCTGGCAGCTGGAAAGCGAGTCCATCATCCCATGCCCGGTCCTCCTTCCCTGCCATGCTTTTATTGCGTCAGGTGCGGTGGGAAGCAATGACGCAAATTGGGCCCAAAATGTAACGGCCAAAACAAATACGGCCACCAATGTTTCTAGCTCCAACATCTCTGTGGACGTGTTTGCGATGAAGTGCATCCAGGCGGACTGTAGAAGCACGCTGACACATCCAGGAAAGGCCTCATGTGTGTCCAGCCTGATGTTGTCTTTTGTTCTTGAAAATCTGGTGCTGATATCTCAAGGCCGTAATGCTTCTGTGCAAATCACAAAGTGCAGTTGCCGACAGATACGCCCTGTATGTATCTGACTGTTATTTCGGCCAAGCCTGGATGCATCTAACCGCAATCACAAATCGTAGTGTGAGTACACCCTCAGTTCATTGCCGCATGAGTTTTTGAGCTCCATTAACCATCTCTCTGGGGCATTTTCGGTGGGTGTCGATCGCAGCGGGTTGGGGTGACACACACGAGCACAGCCACACACGCACACACGCACGCTTGCAGGCATGGTCGCACACATGCTTGCATGCACACACTGAACACACATATACCGAACATGAGAACATACACGTGATCACACTTGAGAATGGAGTTGGTGCGTGTAAAGTCGATCACCTTTCTCAGGGGTATTTCTAAAAGTCCTTATCCATCTCTCAAATGCATCCTGGCAGACTGTCGGGGTTCAACCGCCTGATGAGTTGGTGAATGTCCAACGGAACAGTCCGCGGCACAGTCGTGCTTTTTTTCTGTTGGACTTGTGGATAGTGAACATGACAGCACAACCACAAACACGCGTGCATGCACGCATGCAGACACACAAACAAACAAACAAACACGTGCGCACTTGTGCGCACATGCACAGGAAAATAGGACTCTGGTTAAGGAATTGTGCACATACATATGTACATACACACACACACACACACACACACACATACAGAGATTAATGCAAGGCCGCACACAGGTTTGTGCCGACGTGCACACACACACACACGCACACACACACACAGATCTTCCAGGTGTTTGTCGTTTTTGATTTGGTCGTCAAAACCAAACCACTATTGAAAGTTCAAGAATAGCCATCATGGCGAACCGACCTGTCTCTGACTACAGATCATTTGATGGACACAACGCCAAAATCAAGTTATAAACCAGTTGGCCTGGCTCAGGTGGTACACCCTCAAAATAGAGACCTGATTTTGAATTCCAATTGAAATAGTTAAGTGAAAACAATGGAAAGGAAAGGCAAAAATCTTTATCAAGTTATTTTTTGGATGCGGGCTTCCAGTAACTGTTTGCGTTTCTTTTTTCCTCCCTTTTTTCCTTGTTTTCTTTTGTGGCTTTGAGATTTCATCTCATCATCGAACTCACTCGCCCCATCAGAATTCTTTTTGGCTCATATGATTGCATCCGGATTTGAACGGTTCATGTATGTACGAACTGATCTAGGCCCATTTGGGCGTGTATTTCAACAGTTAATGTATGTACGAACTGATCTAGGCCCATTTGGGCGTGTATTTCAACAGTTAATGTATGTACGAACTGATCTAGGCCCGTCTATCGTTCTGCTCTCTGGTAAAGGTTGATCTTCGGTTCTCATTGACGTGCCACACAGGATTTGTTTCAGTGCAACCCTAAGGCGGAGCCGCTGGATCTGTTTCTCTGTTCAAACACCAGCCAACACGGGCTGCAACAAAAGAACAACAATATCCACCACATATGAAAACAAAAAAACTTTACCAGGGGCTGATTGGGAACCCTCGAGGGCCTCAACCTCAGGCTGCGGCTGCAGGCTGAGGCTGCAGCAAAATATGTTAACCGGAAAGTCTTATGTTAAGTGGTCCCAGTGCAGAAGGAGAGAGAGACGGAGAGATATATAGATACACAGAGAGACTGTGAGTGTGTGTGAGAGAGACACTGTTTCTCTCTCTCTTCCTCAGCATTGTCCGCTGTGTCTCTCTCTCTCTCTCTGTGTCTCCTTTCTCTCGCTCCCCCTCTCTCTCCCTCTCCCAGCGATTTTATCATCAACCATACTCCTTTTTGATGATGGCGAAGCCGCACTGGCACTTGTTGTTTAGTTATTATGTTCACTTTTGATATATGATCCAATGGGGGAACCTGCGTCTGCCCCTTTCATTCATGTTCAGCTATGAGCACATTTTGATTTTGGTCTCTGAGGACTTGATTTGACATAAGGCTTTCATTTTACAAGTTCATTTCAATGCTTTAGTATGATTTCGTATTGGAATTGGCCAGAACAGAAGTTTGTCCTGAAGCCCTTTTTTAAATAAAATTTTCAGATAAGTTTTTCACCCATGACATCAGGGTTGCCATCTTGCCTGGGTCCAAAACCCGGGGCCTACAAAAGGCCGGTAGCTCAGCGTCCATTTAGGGATCCTTGCGTGTCTACGTATTGGAGACCTTGAAGTTTTCAAGTAATCATGACAGCATGTTTATGGTCAATCTCTTATACCCGTTGTCGTCTGGATTTTCCCTCGCAGGATATGGTCCGGAAAACAATCGGATGAAGGAGGAAGCGCTTGCTATCATTGAAGATGTGCACAAGTAAGAGTTGTACATCCTGGCCCATGTCTATAGCTACTCTTTTTCTTTCGTTCTGAAATGGAGTAGCCCCCATTTTTTTCTTTGTGATGCTTCTGGATCTGTTCAATTGTTCAGTGTGTGTACCATTTGGGTGCAAGTTAGGTACCATGTGTATATCACCTTACATTTGCTGTGGTTCAGGAATGTCAAGGGTCCTGAAAGCTTCTCGCCATGTGTCTGTCCGGCATCTGTTATATCTGCAATGGACTGTCAGGCAAGACCTCTGGCAAGACTGAAACGGAAGACCATGTCTATACCATTTGGATGTGATCGTGTGTCAACGTTTCTCCATGACATCCCTAGGGGAATGCATCTTTGAATATGTCCAGAGCTGGGAAGCACCCTGTTTGAGATATGTACTCGTTTACGTGTACACAACCCCAAAAACGTGCTAACGTGTACGTAAGAAAAATAAGTGGGGGAAAAAAAACCCTGAAGAAAGATATGCAGAAATTCAAACATCTTTTGCGTGGGAGTCGTCTCAAATTTCCTAACCAAATTCGAATTATAAAAGGAAGTACTCACATATGCTTCTGCGGACATGTGCCACCTATTATGAGATTGTGTGTACTCGTGTACACAAGACTGGTGTACATGTAGGTTGTGCTTCCCAGGTTGAGAGTGTGTTGAGAGGATGCACGGTGCCTGTTCCTCTGGCTGCTGAGATCCTGACTGAGACCCTGACTTCCTCAGGTGCGGAAAAGTTGGCGTACTCAGGATCAGGGGTACCTGAGGCAGCTATCCTTGAGAGTGCGATGATTAACACAATTCTGCAGGGCGGCTCGACGTACTGGACCCAAAAGGCTGTCGATGTCTGTAGGCCCGGGTTTCTATTTTGGGGGAATGGGTACTGGATCAAAACGGCTCCTGACACCCCTTTAGGCCCTTGTGCTTGATGGTCTACTATCCCAGGGGCGGGTGGAATCGTCCTTCGGGAAAAATAGGCTTGGAAGTTGGAGGTAGATTGGTTGCTTAAACCGCCACTGCCTCTGAGCGTGTTCGGTCCAACGCACTCTTTTCCAACCCCATCCAACGTCCTTTTTTCCTTTTCTGGACTTCGTAGTCTAACAGACGAGCAGTTGATCTATTTTCCTGATGTTTTTGGAATTTCTTCTAAAACGAGTAAGAATGGAAAAATAGCCGAATGGTACAACAAACATGTGACTATTGATAAAACAGAATACCATTTTGAATCGTGATGGAATAAGGTTGATACAGCTAAGTTTCAGGCTACCCAAGAAATTATTTTTTGTGTTTTTTCGAACGGCATGGGGGGCAGTGGTGGCTTAGGATGAGCATTCCCTGGGCCTTAGCCATTCTGCCAACCTGCAATCTGTCTGTTGTGCGCTTAAAGGTTTAGTGAGCTGAAGAAAAATCCCGTGCTGAGTGTTTGAGTGTAAGCATTGGTAATCACTGATCAGTTGATACCGTTACACACTCCATTGCTGATATGCTCAGCACCTATTGCTGCTATGTCAAGGACCCACAGCTGCTATCGATGCGTAAACAAGCGAGAACCACGCCTTCTAATTGGCCAGGTGTATACACACAAGTGTGGCTCTAGCTGAAAGTGCTTGCTAAGCATATAGCATGGAAAGTTGGCAAGCCTAACTATACGGGCTTGAATCATCTGAATGGCTTGTGCAAGTAGTGCTACTCTTGCCATGCATGCTTTGTTGCTGCGGTGGAGGGTAGTTGATGTCGTGGAAGAAGGGTCATGTATGCTTTGTTGCTGCGGTGGAGGGTAGTTGATGTCGTGGAAGAAGGGTCATGGAAGTATTGCATCCTTTGTTATCGGTAATGAGAAATTGGCCAGTGCAGTTCTGCTGCAACCCGCATGGGTGGTTATGTGTACCCAGAAAAGGGAAAAATAGTACTCTGTGCTTGCAGTGATGGTGTAGAAGACAAGTGAATTGGTTTTGTTTCCCCTTCCGACCTAATCACCAGTGCCCAAGGCTTTCATTTCCAAAACCAAAGAATGCACAGACGAACGAACAACGATGTAGCAAAGTAGAACCTAGACCTCGAAACACACATCTGAGCCCGGCAGGAACTGGGTGCTGAAGTGAATGGCCAGCATATACAGGGGTCTTTTTTTCGAAAGTAGTGCAGGCCCACATTTTCTGTTCTCAGACTGTCACCCATCTGTATTGTATCCAGACCTCATTAGGGTCGGAAGGTCAGGTCCGGAAATGATGTGATGGTGGTTTGAAGTATATTTTGGGGGTTGCACAAAGAAGTTTGATCGGGAGAGCACAGTGTTGGTCATTCTCTCACTTCTCTCTTCCTTTTAACACGTAAGGCAAACCCTCAGATTCACACCCCAGAAGGAGCGGTAAGATCTGGAATCTAAGGGTGAAAAGCACAAAAGTAGCCCACTCTGTGTTTGAAAGGACAAAACTCAGCTGCCGGGACGGAATGCCCGCCAAAAAGAAAGTTGGCAAACCCACCCCACTCGAATTCATAATGCTTATCCACCGGTAACGTCAGGATGAAATGCCCGTTAAATTCTGAACAGCATCATGAAGGGCCCCTTATTTTGAGCTGGGGGGTTCTTGATGTCGGATGTCCCCAGATGAACTGGAGGGTATTTGAATGTCCAAAGGTGGCCTGGATTGCCCGACTGTAGCTAGGTGGGAAGGAATTGGCGTATGGTGCAAGGGTCACAGTCCTACTGCATGATCCTCGTGAGCTAGTTCTCAGGTAAGTGCTGCTACGTATCAAGTCTGTGAACCATATAAAAAGGATTGAGCTTAATAAACTTTCACGTGGAGGAATGAACATCTTAAGGGCAACCATCCACAAACAAACCGAATGTTGGTGTGTACTGTCTTTAGTTTGTGTGGATTGACGAAGAGGAAAGCCTGACTGTCAATACAGCGGCCAGAAAGGATGTTCGTGGTTGTTGTTTATCGATTTGCAAAAGCATTCCACTCATTCAGGTGGTTTCGCTTGTAGTATGTTCTGCTTGAACCTACTGCTGCTGTTTCTGTAGCGTGGAGGAGGAGGGACTGGTAGCCCATCAGTAAGTAGAGTGTGGTTCATTTTCATTTCTTGGATGTTCAATCCCAAGAGAAATCCTGTGGTGGAAAAAAAAAACTCTCAAGAGAATTACTTGAGACTATGATAGAAGATATGTGAAACAGTTTGTTCTTTGTAATTTTCTCCAGGGGTGCCTTATGTCTGGTTGGACTCGCGATCATGAAACCATCCTGGTTGGTGGATACTCTTTGTGTGCAGGAGAATGTCCAGTGTGCAAGGAGAGGCCATGCCATCTCTACCTGGAAGTATACCTCACATAATTCCATGTCTAGGGGCAAACATAAAGGATGATGGGACACCACAACAGGTTGTCAGATGTCCTTGTGGGAGCAACATTGAGAGTGGGAAGATGGTTCTGGTATGTCTCCCTTCCTTTTCGTGCTCCCCCCACCCCAGGGGTTATGTTACCACTGTATTGCTGTCAGGAAGGCTGAAGCTGATACTATCTGCCATGAGGTTTCTGGTTTGCTCCTCGCATGCTGTTCTCCCTCTCTTGAACCTCGTACGAAAGCCACAGGACATGAAGCCTAGAAAGGTTGTTGAAGAGTCCGTTGAAAGGAACAAGGACTGTGGATATTGTTGTTCTTGGCACCTCTTCACAGGTTTCTCTCATGTGTTGAAGAGTCGCATGCTGTTCTCCCTCTTCATATGCGGAGGTAGTGTTGCAATATTGGCCATGGTCGTACCTGTTGTACCGCAGTATTGGACATAGCGACCTGATTTACTGGAGTCTTCACATAGAAAATTAGAATGACTGACACGGGTGCCAATTTGTGCTATGAGGAAAATGACAACAACAAACAGACTGACAAGCCTGGCTCAACATGGTGGACAGTTGATGCTTGCAAAACTGGAATGGCTGCAGCATTGAGTGACAGGCATCTCAGAAACGTTTTGATGAAATGTTCCCGGAAATTGAATTTTGGGGTTGTAAATGTAAATTCTGACTGCCAAGCCGCATCAAAGCAATGAGCGGCGTCTCTTAACGGGGTGGATATGCCCACCTGATCTTTTTTTTTTAATTTAAGAGACGGCCTTCAGATATCATCGTTGAGCTGACCAGCCCCTGGCAATTCAGAAATATTCTGTTTTTACTCATCATCCAGTTCCATAGTCTCTGGTCTGTGTTTTATCAGTTCATGGGTGTACCCACTGAGCTAGGCTCTTGGGTCTGCCCACCTGATCTTCTTTAAAAAGAAAGTTAAAAGGGCTAATGTTTACAATTGATGCTCGAGGTTTATGTAGTTTTGGCCAGCACCAGTGCATCTTGAGAGCCAAAACATCCATCGTCAAATCTCTCTCTCTCTCTCTCTCTCTCTCTCTCTCTCTCTCTCTCTCTCTCTCTCTCTCTCTCTCTCTCTCTCTCTTTGTGTATACTCCCATCTCCTCATCCCCACCCCTGTCCCTTTCCCTTCACGGCTATAGCTTGAGCTCTTGGGTGTGTTGGATACCACTATTTTATGCTGTCTTTTGCTCTCACAATGAGAGCCTCCGCAAGTTCATCTGTTCCAATACTGATGTCGATAGGTGGGTTTCAGTTCTCCACCTCCACATAAGCAGTGAGAATGCTCCTCTATGCTTGTACGTCCTATGGACTACAACAAACGGGGTAATGCTTTCAACCTCTGGCTATGATGGCCTTGCCCCTTACAGTTCCTGTAAAGAGGCGATCAGAGCCAAGCAGATTACCCATCATCTTCAGCACTCCAGCAAATCCGCGAAGCAAGCCGAAGAACGAGTGCCAAGACATTGCAGTATGATTGCCAAGCAAGTGCCCTGGACATCACCTGTATGTTCCTGGACTTTTCTGCACTTCTAGGGGAACATCACTTGTATGTTTCTGGACTTCTCTGCACCGGTATGCCTCTACTGTCTCCTCCAGATTCTACAATCAGTACTAGGTCGACTGTCTGGATCCTAGCCCAGGCCCAACTGTTAAGTTTTAAAGAGATTCAACTTCAAGATTTGTGCAGACTCGTCTTCTAGACCTAAGCAAAGTCCTGCTAGACTTAGGTATTTGCTCTGATTATGCTGTCCCCGTGGTAGGCAAAGATAGTGAAAAGAAAACGGTAGTAGAAAATAGAAAAAAGCAAGAGGAAGGAAGCATTAGGAGATTCAATATTTACAGATGACAAAAACAGACGAAGTGAAATGCAAGTTTGAGCAGGTGAGAGACGGCAGAGCAACTCAGTGGGATGTATTTGTAACCCCTTGATATCCTCTACTCGTCAGCTTCTTTTCCGTCATAATCACGTCAACACAATGTACACATATGCCAGTGTGCAATTGGGAGAGGGAGGAAAATGGGAAAGACTTTCATCATGGGCAGAGAGAGAATACAGCATGGATGGAACTGTCTTGTAACTCCCAATACGCGAAGAACATATCATTGTGGACCCTTTAAGAAGCATATCATTGTGCACCCTCAGTCAACCCCTGGTACCCGAAGAGGGACTTCATTAGTGTCTTCAGGGAGGGAGATTGCATGCTAAAGTGGCGAGCTGGTGGGTGAAGGTCCTGGGGGAGGAGGGTGAATGTAAGCTAGGCCGTTTTCACGGGCCCCTGGGCACCTAAGTTGTGCCCGGAAACACGCCCAGCCAGACCGGTTGTGCATGACATCTGGGCAGGGTCCTGGGCGGCCCCAACGCAAAAAAGGAGAAAAAAAGAAATCCAAAAAAGTCTACAAAAAAAAAATGTTGTGTAGAATCGCAATACAAACAACTTTTGGCTCAGGGTCACATCAGAATTCCTCACGGAACTGAAGAAAAGAAAATAACCGAATCACACCAAAGGACCCCTCTTTAAACCCCTTTAGCCTGTTAAGAAAATGATTTATACCCCCCTTGCTCCCCCTTTAAAGCCAGCACTCAAAAAACGAAAAGAGCCCGGATTTTGGCTCCTCTCCGAGATTGTGGAAAACCCCCACCGCCATTTTTTTTTTTTCAATTTGTTTTTACCCATGCCTGGGTATCCCGGGCGTCAGACCCCCCCGGGCATGATGCCTGGGTGACCGGCTGGTCATGAAAATCTTCCTAGGTTTCAACTGTATTATTGATTATTAATGAAACTACCTCCCTCTCTCTCTCCATTGCCTCGTTAGCTTTGACTCACTTCTGGTTACTTGCTACTTATTCTGGGACTACATTGAGTGCTTCTGCAGTACTACTAGCTCCATTTGAGTGCGTTGTTGCGAGCATGATTGTGTTGTGGGTGCAAGCTCGTGCAGTGGCCAACCTGTTGCGCCGGGTTAGTTGCAGAGTATTGATGCGGCAGCATTTGAGACAAAAAAAGAGAAAACTTCACAATTTGTGGTTTCCAGCATCATGTCAGGATCACAGGATGGGGCTGTGATTGCGTCAGGACTAGCAACAAAACCAAGGGATCAAAGTTTCGTTGTTGTTGTTGTGGTTTTGCAGTGTGATGGAGACGACTGTCTCACAATGCAGCACCGAGCCTGTGTAGGCCTCCCTGAGAACACCGAGAATGGGGAAGACCCAGAACCACCTTTTCACTGTGAGCAATGCAGGGTTCGACGAGCAGATCCGTAAGTCACTATAACCATGCTTTCCCTTGTTTCCTCTCGCCATCTTGGTATCAATTTGCTGGAAGAGTATGCTACAGTCACTAGGGTTTATGTGCCCAACCTAGAGTAGGTTGGTAGTGGTACGAGTTTGAAAGCTTTCCCTGCTGCTTTGCTTTTCTTTCAGATATAGATGGTGTGGTGTCCTTAGTTAAGTGGCCATGAAAGCTTTCCCTGCTGCTTTGCTTTTCTTTCAGATATAGATGGTGTAGTGTCCTTAGTTAAGAGGCCATGTGATAAAGGCTTTGAGTGGTTCAAGATCTCTCGGTTATGCGATAAAGGCTTTAAGTGTTTCAAGGTCTCTGAAGGTTGGTCGGCAAGGAGTGTACTTTGTTCGAAGGTCTGTCTCAAGACTATCAGGGAAGATTACCTGCTGACTGACAAGAAGTTGAATTTGTTTCCTGGTTTCTTGTTATCGTGATGGTCATTATTCAGGTTTAGTGTCTTGAACAAGCATATCTTGACTAGTAAACTCCGGCCAGCAGTAGGCAAGTCTGAAAGGTACATAAGCGGTTAACAGGGACCCCTACTTTCCAGCCTTGGTTAACCCCCTCAACCCTGAAAAGTGCATTGGAGATAATTTTTTTAGTTTTTTCTGTTTTTGTTCCTTTTGCCCTGTTTTATTTTTGGTCAAGGTCTGTGTGCGCGAAGTTTGGTGTTTCTTGGGGTCTTGGAGTCTACTGTTTTGGCTAGCCCTGAAAAATCCTGAAAGTCCTGAAAAGTTGTGAAAACTGAAAAGAGTGAATTTTGCATGAAAATACACTTTTGCCTTGCTGTTTTATAGCTTTTTAAAGATTTTTTTTTTTTTTTTTTTTTTTTTTGTAAGTAGTTAGTATGATCTCCACTCTATGAATTTGTGGCAAGTTTGGTTAAAATGACCCTCGGGTTTTGTTATAAATGACCTGAGAAGTGGTCTGAAAATTGATGCCTCTGTTAAACCGTCTCTCGAAAGGTAAGGTTTCGATGATGTTGTTCCTGCTCATTTTGGGTATGCAAATGATTTCCTAACATGCTCTGGTTCTGGATCAGCTTCATTGCCACATGGGAGCTATTCATATTCGGATACACGATTCCATTTTTGCTCCTTTCCTTGTCAGGGACAGACGGAAACCAGTCTCGGGGCAATGTGGCCATGCATTCCGTTTCGAGATGCAAGTCTTTACTCTCTCTCCGTCTGTTGGGCAGACACTGTGTTTTATATCACACACACAAACCCACACACATACTTGCGTACATATGGTCTCATGCGAGGCATCTTGAACTTTTGTTAGATGGAGATGAAAGCATGGAGCATGGACACACTTCATTTGTGATGGAATTGGGATGTTGCCTACAATATCTTCACGAGGAGGCTCAGGGAGTGTTTTCTGCATGTGCAAATCTCGCGGGCTGCTGTTGTGTAGCACATGGATAGAGGGACATGGCCCTAGAGTGCCAAGGCTTTTGGACCATGCTGGTCGGACCTGTGGGTGGGACTCCTGGTTCCAAATAGACTTTCTATCCATCTGTGCTGTTTTTCAGGCGATGCAGGAATACGTCCCCCCATTTTCATATCTGCAAGTGTGCTCTTTAGGCTGGATGGGTGTGTGGGTACTTAGTGCCTAAAGTACCAGTCCCTTGGAGCCTCCTTTTTCAGGAACGTAGTGCTGCACGGCTGTAAAAAGAGCGAACTTCAACAGGGCATGACCTTGTGCTAACTTCCTCCCTCCTGCAGTTCCGAACTGCAGTTTTTTGCCGTGTTGATCTGTGCATTCGAATAAGGTACGAGGGAAATGGACTACAATGTGGCCAACCGCACTGGTTTTAGTCCTCTAAATGGATATGAATGGACTTGGGAATGATGTCTGGTGATTGTGTGCACAACACATCCCTGTGCTAATGGTGACACATGCAGGCGTGCCAGGGGGCGGACTGCGTTTTGTTCCCATTTGGATTGTTGTCCAATGAGCTCATGAATTCGCACTGCCGCCTGTACCTCATCAAATTGACACATCATCACACCGAGCTCCCAGACACGAAATGCAAATCACACAGGATGAAATTGTGTGGAAATGCAGAGTCTTATACAAGAAAGTCTCTTGTATGTACAGTTGGACGGCTACGACTGCCAAGCTTCCCTAAATTGGTACGGCATGTCTCTCTCTCTCTCTCTCTCTCTCTCTCTCTCTCTCTCTCTCTCTCTCTCTCTCTCTCTCTCTCTCTCTCTCTCTCTCTCTCTCTCCACTAGCTGTGGCCGCTGTTGCTGTCAATTACTCCCTAACGCTTTTTCTCAACCTCACTTACACGCTTGGTGACACAAGATCGCAGCTGCGCTTCTGCAGCAAGCTTGAATGGAAATGGTGACTCCTTGCTGCCGCTGGAATTTTGTACTTTGCTGCAGTTCCCAACCTCGGACTTCTCTGGTATCGGTAGCTGCCTATGCTGGCGGCTGTTGGGCCTTCGACACTTCCGTATTGACTTTCGTGGGACTGAGTCGCCGATTGGGTCCGACCTACTGACAGACGGACTGACTGGAACCAGCAGACCTACTGAATCCTATGGGCCCTAGTAGTCTCAACCTATCTATCCGCGGATCGACGTGGGATGCTTGGGACTTAGGGACGGTACCGGAGCTAAGACGCTGAGATGCGTGAAATCCTTTCACTACAACCCGCCTGAATTCGAGGTTCTCTGAGCAAGCTATGACTTTTATCATTTGTCTGTGATGCGGATTTGTATCTGAGCCCGCTCATAATAAGAGACTATTTGAGGAGCTCTCCGTGAGTTCTCCCTTGGTAAACCAACTATCGTCCTCTGGGTATACGTACAAAAATATGTTGTATGTGCTTTGTATGTATGTATCATCCTCCAGCTAGTGACAGGGCACACTTCAATGGCAGGATGCGTGGTACTTCATATTTGCTGTGAAGGCCGACTTCGAGAAGGCGAATGGGTGGGGGAGGTTGTTGGTGGGTGAGCATTTACAACACACTGGGTTTGGGAGGTTTGCGATTATTCTTTGCTAACACGTGTCGTAGTCTTGCCAGCTCTCCACGATTGTGGACCTGAGCTGATAGGAGGTCTGTACAAGTGGTCTTTGGAGCTATGCCTTGGTTCTGGTTCTATATTTTGCTTCTGCTTAATATTGTTCGTCCTCTTGGTCGGCCCAGACCAAGGCAGCAGCGCATGCTTATCCATCCTTGAGTAACTCTCTCCCTCACACACAAGAAGATATTATGGCGCAGCCTGCAGGGAAATCAATACAACATTATTTTACTTACGCACGCATCTCTACAGACTAAGAACTACTAGATCACCTTGTTAGAATTTCTTATTGTTCTTATTTTCTTTGTATTGCGTTGGATTTGGCGGTTAATTCGTGAGAAGTGCTAAGGGATAGTTGTTTCTCAGTTCTTCAGTGATGGACATTGGATATAACGGACTCTTGACATGGGAGCCGGTACAGCCTAGTGTAATATACACACAGGGTGGGGGAGGAGTTGATGGTGGTTTGTTGTTGGCAACCAGATGCAGCATGCATTTATTTGGTTTTTCTGCCTGTTTCCTTCGTTTCTCCGAATTCCTCTGGAAACCAATCATACAATGTATGGTGTTTGGATGCAGTAATATGCAAAGTGCGGAGCGGAATTTTATTATGTCAAAGCAGCAGAAGGAACTTTTGGCCCGACCTGCGCATGAGTTACAGGTAAAGATGACTCCATGCTTCTTGGTGCCAGTGAATTGTGCATTGTGCTGCACACCTTTGTTAGCTTTCGAAGCATCAGCTGATCTCTCTCTTCAAAATAGAGTCCAGGATTGTCTGAAGCGTCCCAGGCAATGGGAGTTGATGGTTTTGCAGTATGACATCACTTTTTTTTTCCTGCCAGGATCCGCGCAGTTGCAGTCTGAGAAACCTGCATCTTCCCGAGAAAAGCTGTCTTTTTTATCTGAATGCTGAGATTTCCCAACCTGAGTCAATTTTGCTGTGTGTCAGGAGTCTGAGTGTGTCCTGATATTGTTTGTATGTCCATGTGCTTGGCTGTGAAGTTAGAAGCCCAGGTCCGAGTCTGTGTGCTAACTCTGTTTTTGGCCACGTGTCAAGGAGAAGGATATTAGAAAAAAGAAGTGATAAAAAAGAGAGTAATAGCAAGCAATAAAGATTTTTCACGATCCATTGGTTTATAGAAAATCCATGTTTTAGGTGTTTCAAAATACAYGACTTTCACRARACGTATATAATAAAAGCAACTAATAACGCTGGTTACTACTCCTATTAAGGCTAATAAATAAGCTCCGCAACCTAGAGCAGCAAAAAAGAGATAAAATTTGCTGCAAAATCCTGCTAATGGAGGTATTCCTGCCAATGAAAACATAGTAATAGACATTGTAATAGGTAAAATAGGACTGTGCCTTGGACAGGAGTAGGTCAGTGAAGAAGTGTAGGGTTGGAAACAGGGACCCGAACGAGTTATCTGAATGAGCCGGCTGGCGACACGGTAGGACTTTCAGTAACATAGGGGTAGGCCTTGAAAGGTCCGGTGGCTTCCCAGTGGGTCATGATGGCCGTGCGGGAGTTGCACAATAAAATGATGTTCCTGCCAATGGGCAGGAACACCCGGTAGGCCTGGTCACCGATAGGAGGCTAAAGCACGGGGGTACCAGGGACTGAAGGCCAGAGTATGTTGCTCGATGTAGTACTCCGGGAATTCATCCGGCATTTGTGCTGCTGCTCCTCCCTGAGGGAGAGTGAGGCGAAGCACAGGGTGGAGGAAGGAGTAGCTGATGCTGAGGAAAAGACCACCATGTTTATGGAGGACGTGCTAGTAGGATGGAGAAGTCCTAGGCAATGGAGATAGGGAGGGGATGACCTTCAGATAGGCAATTGAGGTAGCTAGAAAGTTTAGAGTAGAGGTAAAGGGAGGGCAGATGACCGGACCATCAAGGGATAATTACCTTTCGCTATGGTGGGCCTCCATCTCCATGTCCTTCGTTGATGCTATGTTCAGAAAGTCCCTGCTAAGGTACCAGTTGGACATGGACAATCATTCCGGAGTGCGGCTATGGCGGTAAGAGATGGTAGATGCTACGGTGGACCTTCATTGTCACTTCCTTGGTTGGCAATGCATATTCAAGGCACCTGCTGGTTTACTGGTTGGGCATGGACAATCGTTCGTGAGTGTGCCTGTGGCAGTAATAGATGGTAGTCCATTGTCCGATAGCCAGCGGTGTAACCTTTAAGAGAGTAGAGAGAGGACTAAAGGAGAGCTCTTCGGGTGCTCCCAGTAAGGTGTTTCACTCAGACTTTATCCTTGTTCATTCGTCAATTTGTTGTTGTGTTTAATTGATGTCATTATCATGACGATAATAGGATAGGGTGATTGCGTGAGCGACAGCGCAAAGGGGAAAAAAAACAATGAGTGATAGTCTACTTTGATTTTGGTTAAGGTAGATGATCATTTACAGTGTAATCAGTGAGGGGATTCTGCAGACTGTTGAGGGTTCAGCCTCCTGATGAGTCGGTGAAACTCCGACGAAACAGTTTGTCACAACCCCTCGTTTGTTGTCCTCTTCTCTCTTTCTGGAGTATCACACCGCACAGGGAGAGATAACACAGCGGAAGACTTGACCATGCGATATGACAGGGTACACTGAAATTGCAATTCACTCCACTCAATCCTCACAACCAGTCATAGAGAAAAGCCGAGCAGATCGCATCCAGGAAACGATGAAACGAAGATAGTCCAAACCCAGTTATACACTGTTTATTAACTCAGAGTCTCGAATTGTCAGGATAACTTCAGAACTACAGTGCGCTGCTCAGAAATGAGCAGCGCCTCACTCCCCAACCCTGACTAACACCGGTAACACCCCTGAGCCCCTGAAACATCAAGCGCCACCCAGATACAGCCTCCTGAGGGAAGTGCCACCCTGAAACAGGCCTCTGAGGCCAAGCGCGACTCAGAGGATGAAGAGGAAGACCAGCGCCACAGTATCTGATGATGACAAAGTGTCGGAAGAGTTCCCGGGTGGAAGTCTGCAGCAGCGCCACCAAACCCTGACAAGGTGACCTCTGAGGAAGAAGCTGCAGCTATGGCTGCAGCACCGCAACCCTGGAACCCCACTCCAGAGGAGGGTCCAGCAGGGCACCAATCTCTCTCGCCTCCAGCCGACCTCGATAACCCAGACCTCTGTCAGCCCCTGTGTGCTGGCAGAATACAGCGCAGGTCCCAGCTATGGCTGGCGCTCCGAAGGTCTGGCTATGCCTGTCTCCTTCCACGCTGAGCCGTTACCACCTCCGGTTCACGCGTAGTGCAGCAGCGATGTACTCGGTACCGACTGCCAAAAGCCCTAAACCGATTTGCCCATCCTATCTATACTACACTAGCCTAGACTCCACCTAGACCGGACTGACTGACCGACCGATACCGTTTCTGTTTCGGCCTCTCGGCCTCTACCGGACCCGGCTATAGGCTATAGGACCGTCTATCAGAAAAGGCCGTCAGGGCCTGTCTGTCCTAGGGGTAGCCCGGGCCTGCTATTCACAGTTAGGGTAGCTGTAGGGAATTCTGTTAGTACCAGGACTGCATATTTCCCTCACAGGTAGGTCTCTCGGTTAGCCCTCAGCCAAACAAAAGTGCAAATCTATCCTACCTATAGTACAGCCTCGATAGAGAGAGGCTACAGGCGACCAGAAAACAGCAAGTCATTGCACCGGTGTCAAAGCACCGCTGCGTAATCCAAGAGAGCTTTGTTTTTACTCCACTCCTGGTTGATCCTAACCCCCGATGACGGATGTGTGAGGATTGAGCCCTCAAGTAGGGGCCTTGCCATGATGTACGTGTTCTGGGCTAAGGCCCCAGCAAGCCTAGTGCCCGCCCTAAGTGAAGGCGGGCCAGCAAATCAACAAGAGCCCTCTGTGCCAACATTTCACGAAGTGGGGTCTATACAGTTGCAGCACGCCAGTTGGTTGGAGTGCACCGAGTCTCGGATTTCAGCAAATGCTGAAATGCCCAGGGCCTCTGAGTTAGTTAGGCCCTGGGCACTCGAACGTGAGGCCGACAATGCATGCTGGGTAGAGAGGCCGAAAATGCCAAAGGGAAATCGGCGGGGCCCAACTGTATCGAGTTGGCTTCAGCCTCTGGGCCCCGGTCACAGGCTGAAGGGAGGCCGCCCACACGCTGCACTGGCATATAGGCAAGCAGGGCGAGGCAGCGGGGATCTTGGCCAATGCTGGCATATGCGGGCATGCTGCGCAGATGCGAGTGTGCAGTGCTATGCAGTGCAGCGCTGCGCTAAGACAGGGCAGGCCAGCGCTAGGCGGTAGGGCGCTGCCTGCGTGCAGGGCACTGGCGGCCATAGCCGGGCCGCATGAGGGTGCAGGGGAGGTGAGGGCGAAGGTGGTACTTCGGAGGTGAAGGGCTCTGTGTGGGTAACAAGGCAGAGTGTGGGGAAGAGGACATGTACCTGGTGATGGTGGAGGTCTGCATTGGTGTTGACATCATCACTCGCTGGTAGTCAAGTTGTCTGGTTGCTGTTCATTGCTGTAGTTGTAGGATAGGCGGTAGAGTAGATAGGGCGCCTGGCGCCATTCACAAGAGAGAGCTACATTTGGGTTATGCTGTTGGTGTTGCCCTGGTGGGCATGGACATTGACTCACGGTTCTTCTGTATCATTCTCAATGGGATGGTTACTTGGTTCCATGTGCTATTTGCTTTGGCTTTGAATACTTGGACTTCAGTGTGATTTTGCATTCTGGATTTCTGTGCTTCGTCCATACTCATGTTCCTTGCAGATGGAAGGGACAAAGGGATGGCCTCTACCAATTTCCCGGAAATTGAGGCCCTGTCCAATAATCCAATTTTGTTTTGTTCAGTAGCGCTAGCTTAATTCAAATTAAAATACTTTCTAGTACCCATCGGCGCCGAGGGGCGCAAGCCGACTATCTCAGCTGGTGAACCCTCAGCATGTGGCAGGAGGCCTCGGGGGTCCAAATGGAAAACGTGGGGAATCGAAACCATGACCTCCTGAATGCTGCTTTCGTGCTCTACCAACTGAGCTAGGCCGCGGGCGTTCATTCTTGTTAAATTCTTCTGTCCCGTTGTGTAATTCCACTTCTTGAGTTGAGGTGTAGGGCATTGTTGTGACAGGCACTGGGTTCGAGGAGGACGAAGAAGGTTGAGACGGAGTGAACCCCCCCACACACAACCGGACTGCGACAGAGAACTCGACTGGTACGATGAGGACGTTCAGAGAAGAGTACCAGCAGCAACTCAATGTCTATCAAACACTCCAAGGTCTGAAATAGGGTACAGCACATATGTCCCACCCCTGATTGGTATTAGCGGGGTCTAAGACCAACACGGGTGTGAGTGCGAGCGCGACTGGGTTGGGTGTGGTGTGTGGGAGAGTGTTGGCCATAGCCTCTGCTGCTGCTACTCAGTTCGGGTGGGGGACGATGGGAAAGGGTGGCGCAGCTACTGGCAAAATGCTCGTTCTTTGCGTTAGCCGGACCCCCACCGGCGGCCCCACCCCATCTCTGACTACCGTTGTTGGGGAGGGGGGTAACATGATTTACCTCGTTTGCGAGGCCCTATGCTTGCAGGGGTCCCCTCTATATAGTCTTAGGAGTAGTGGTAGGAAGGTAGTGAAAGGCAAAAAGAATTTGAGAGACGAATATAGTGTAGTTAATAAAAAAGTAAAAAAAAA